TCTCAAATTTGTATGCACCAGCTTGGAGGGAGTGTTTCAATAGAATAAGTATTTCCTACTTAAAATAGGAATAGGAATAAGAATAGGATTCCTAGTCAGAAAAGGACTCTAATATAGTGTCTATAAATAGGGTCTCAATGTAAAATTTAGATACACAATTCAATAATATTTTTTCACCATATATTTCTCACAAGGGTGACAACAAGACCAAGTTTTTCCACAGATCAGCAAATGCTCATAGAAGATATAACAATATTGATGAATTTATGGTGGATGGGGAAGCAACCCAAAAACCAGATGTTATAAAGAAGGAGATTGAGAGGTCTATTAAAGAATATATACTGAAACTGAGACATGGAGGCCAGCTGGAGGATGCAGGGCAGACCACAGAGCACAGAGTTTCTATTGAAGACAATCATTCTATGAAAGCTAGATATACAAAAGCTTATGACCACCTCAATAGGATTTGGAGGTAGATGGGTAAGATGGATGAAGTTCTGCATAAGCACAGTCAAATTCTCTGTCCTTATCAATCAATGACTCCCCTACAGGTGAGCCTTCTACTCACAGAGAGGCCTAAGGCAAGGAGACCCATTATCTCCTTTTCATCATTGCCACGAGATGTCTTAATGATATGTTGAGAGTTGCTCAAGGAATAGCTGGTTGAAGGGATTCAAAGCTGCACACAGGGAAGGCTCAAACTTGGAGTTACTCATTTGCTTTGCAGTATGCTGATGATACATTGATCTTTTGTGAGGCTAATAAGGACCAACTCATGATTCTCAAGGTCATTTTTGTTATTTTTGAAGCAGTCCCACGATTACATTCAACTGGAATAAGAGCTTCATATAACCAGTTAATGAGGTTCCTAACCTAACCTAATTGGCTGGGGTCCTTGGTGGAAGTATTGGGAAGCTACCAACTGTCTACTTGGGCATGCCTCTGGGTGATCAGAACAGGTCTATAGATATATGGAATTGCGTGGTAAAGAAGTGCAAGAAGAGGTTGGTAAACTGGAAAAGTCAATATCTCTCCTTAGGAGGAAGACTAGCACTAATCAAAAGTGTTTTGGACTCTATGCCTACCTATATGATGTCCCTCTTCCCTATCCCTGATGGGGTCATTGAGAGATTGGATGTTCTAAGAAGAAACTTAGTGAAACCAAGAAGTTCCACTTGGTGAAATGGGATGCACTGATTGGAAGTAAACAAAAAGGGGTGTGGGGGTAAGGAACTTAAAAACTCAGAACCAATGTCTTATGATGAAATGGCTCTGGATATTTGCTTCTAGGGAGTCAGCTCTCTGGAAAGAAGTTATCCAGCTGAAGTATGAAATGGCAGATCATTGGACCACCAGAATGGTCACCGATACTTATGGGATCAACCTTTGGAGATCCATCAGAAACCTGTGGCCAAAGCTTAGAGAAAATTGCAGCATAAGAACAGAAGATGGCAGGAAGGTACTTTTCTAGGAATACAAGTGGTTACATCAAGCCCCCCTAAGGGACACCTTCAATGATATTTACACCCTAAACCAACAACAAAGGACCACTGTGGATGAAGTCTGGTCAAATCAGGGATGGAATTTGAGCTTTAGAAGACCTTTTAATGACAAGGAGATTTTGAGGTTAGTTGAGTTCTACAGCAATTGGAGCAATTCAAAGGAACCTCCACTGACCAAGATAGATTGGAGTGGGAGGGCCACAGTCAAGGTAATTTCAGTATGAAAGGGGCCTATAAAAAATTTAACCCCAATAATTATCAGATTGTGGGGGGCCTAGGAAGCTTATATGGAAAGTCAAAATTCCTTATAAAATTTCCTGCTTCACTTGGCTTGTGGCCAAACAAGCTGTTTTAACCCAAGAAAACCTCATGAAAAGGGGGATACATCTAAGTCCAAGGTGTTTTTTTGGGAAGAGAAGGCTGAGACTGTAACCCACCTTTTTATACACTACAGGATTACCCGTCAACTATGGGAAATATTCCTAAGTAAGAAGGGCCTGAATTGGGTAATGCCAAGGAAAATAGATCAGACTTTGAAGATCTGGAGCAGTTATGCTAGCATGTCAGACCATAAGGATAGGTGGAAAATTGTACCAGCTTGAATTTTGTGGGCTGCTTTGCGATGAAATTGAAGTGATTAGTTTTGTTTCACTTTTGGTGTAAACAGGAGTATAGGGAATATCTAGAATCAATTAAAGATGCCTTAGGATTATTGTAATTTTTTGTTAAAAGGGTTGAAGTTCTTCTAGATACTCCCCTCCTCAACTGTAATTATGAAACCTGTAACTTGTCGTGGCAGGTTTCTGTTTTTGGGGAAATAGAATACAAGTCGTTACCTTCTCAAAAAAAAAAGTATAAACATGGAGTACATATTATTAAGAATTAATCAATTTACATCCAGTTCTATTGGACTGAGTTTAACTCAGTACTTTCACATTGCTGCAGAATGGCAGATCTAGTACATCTTGAGTTACACTTCATTGTATGATGGACACTACCATGTGTGTTTTAACTTCATTTTGACCACAAAGTATAATTCTTACCAACGGAATGAGTTGTGGCACTTTAGAAGAGTTGTGGCACTTTAGAAGGCTAGATTCTGACTAAAAATCGATGAGAGTTGAGCAAAAAGTTTCTATTGCAATGAATTATTTACATCGATGTATGGCATAGAATGAAACCATGTAAGTAAAAAGTTTCATTACTTCAATTTCTTTTGAAGTAGAAAAATGTGTCCATAGTCTAACTAGTGTTTCTTCAAAACTATGAACTGTACAGTGTCTATCCTGGCTTACTACAACTATACAAAATTGTGTAATTAAAAAAATGGGGACTGGTTTTCTTCTCACTTCCGCAATCGAGATGTGAGATCGATGAACAAATCCTCACAGCATGGAATAGTCACACCACCCATTGGATGGTCGAAGCCAAATTCTTCCTCAGATTGACTAAGCAAGTCTTGAAATAAAGGTTCGCTCAAGAATGATATCGGGATCACAAATCTCTTTTTCTGCATCTCCCCAACATACACAGCAAAATGACCCTTGGGAATATCTCTAGTTGCAGAAGACTTCTTGATCATACGAAGAATAGCCATGATCACTTAGTTTTAGTATAGGTGAAAAAAAAAGAAGGATTGTAAGGTTACCAAAAAGCAGAGAAAGCTTTGATGTTTGCTGAGTGTTGTGGTGGTAGATACCTCATTAGATATGTTTATATAGGAAATGGCAACTCATGTATAATGTGTGGGTACCAGCAGAAGACAATGGCACTGTAGTATCAGATGCTCTTGCCTTCCAAGTATTGAAAACTATGTGGTGTTAGTTAAAGAACAATAGGCCCTACCTTAATTTGAAACTTGGAAAGAGCCATTTGGATTGGACATCAGTACAAGACAATGATATATTAGTAATCACATGGTCCTGCCCTCCAGCTAGTTGCAATGATTAATTACTTTGGCATATATAAGTTCAAGTTCAATATGTCCTACATATATTTTCCTATAGGGAACAAATGATCTCTAAGAATCAAATCCATAAATATTGCTGGTAGCTTATGAGGATATCTAGGAATTAACCATACCCCAGATGCAAACTTTGTGCCCACTTATATAAAAAGAATAGGAGATAACAGGGGGAATATTAGAAGAACAATCCATTGATTAATAGTTGGCTCCCTAAGTACATAATCATTTTTTTTTGGCAACTAATGTGAGTATTACCATAACCAACAAACACAAAGTAACAAATACACCTAAAAAAGAACCTAATCACATAACCACCTTCTAGGAAGGGTGTGATGAGAAAATAGGCATCCAAAATAAAGCTAATTACAAATAAGCCTCTGAATCAAACTGCTACAGCTACGACCTTTTCTCCCTATTTTTAATAGATCTAATCTTTCCACAATATCCTTCTTAATCTTCTGTAACACAACTGTTCCAGTTTGAACACTCATGTGCTTGAATGTAGTCCAGTTCCTAGCCTTCCAAGTAAATAATCTTGTTTGTTATCTTTTACAAGTACATTGGTTTCTTCATAAACGAAGATAAATAAGTTGGGATCTTCCTCCATAAACAGCATCCCATCTCTATATCCCAAACACAACTATTAGTACTTTTTTAGTAGCATTAAGCTCTCAAATTTCTTCAAGAAAACATACAAAAGTGGACATCAGGAAATCAAACAACTTAATCACAAGCTGCAGTTTTGAAGCAAATTATGAATTCAAATTTGGGTATGCTGAGATTTATATTTGCTAATGAGTCCAACCAACGACCCGACCCCTAAGAGAAACAATCATTTAAAGTAAATGAATTATAAGGAAAATTCATGAGAAACCAAAAATGGATGATAATGCAAAGGACGAAATAGACCTGATCAGTTATATCAAGTGCTGTGCTTGCCACAATCGGAATAAACTTATTGTCAACCTGTTGGAGAACTTTGGCACCCTCCGGGAAGTTTTTATTAATGGTATCAGGAACCAATGAATCGCCAAAAAAATGCAAGACGCCAGAAGTGACACTGAGTACAATATACTGATTATTAAAATTCTCAGTTCCAGCACTGTTCTGCATCTCAATAGGAAAAGGTAAAGTTCATCATCTTAACAAAATAGAGAAGAAGCAAAAACATCCAAGATATAGCTAAGGTACTCAACTGTAATCTTTGGAAGTCCCTCCATTTTATCCCAAAAATCTAAGGAACTTTGAATTTTTGTTGGTGCAAATTCTGAAAAATTGATTAAAGAAAAGGTCAGCCATGACAATATTATTACAAGATCAGAACACAAGCAAGATGGAATTTGAAAGAGACTATGTGGCATAGGAGTCTTAGAAAGAGACATTGTAATCTCTAATGCTTCCATGATTAATAAGAATGCAGCCTAAGCTAATCTTGAAAAGTGGGTGAAAGAAATGAAGCTAATTAACTGAAACATGCACTAGGAAAATTCAGCTCTTATTCAGATCACGAACAAGTGGCAGGAATGGTTTACCTTCTTTTAACTCCCCATCGTGTGTACATGTGCACTCCCCTTGAGCTTGCAATTTGCTATTCCAGGTGTTAATAAGTTCCCTTTTCACACTTGGCCTGAACAGAGAAACATCAGGTCGTGTTCATTACTGGCATATTTAATTAAGATATATCAGAAAGAGACCTAACAACCCTCCCAAGAAATTGGATAACGCTACCTTTCATCAGAGATGAAACCGTCACCACAACTTGGGGTTGAAGATTGATCACATTGATGGGATGACTGCTGTGGAAGCTCTCAGCAGATAGCTTCTGCAGAATGATGCAGTCTACTAACTGCTATAGTTTCAGCACGAAGGAAAAGAACATTAATTAGTTGCACCCGTTTTCTGTCATCAATGATTAATAACACAAACAAGCACTCAAGAACAAATTACCAAGCATGAGTGGCACATCATGAACAGTCTTAATACTGTGATTTCCAGCTGCCTTTCTTGTAGACTCACTCATTGCAAAGAACTTAATTCTTACCTTGGTAAAATGGAGGAACTGAATGAATTCTTCTACCCTCTTTCTTCCTTATAAGCTCATCCGTTTTACCTCAATTTCCAGCATCGATCCATTTATGTCAGTCCCTATCCGAGCACAGGTCATGGTATCAACTAATTCTTAAGATTCTCTTCACATCTCTTATCCATCAATTTGGGCCTGCATACCTTCACCGTGTATACATCGTGAGCCTTGAATGAACTATCACTTGCATTCAATTTTTAAGGGAACTCAGATGAATCCCTAACCCACTGAAAAATAGTGGCAACAGAGAAAGAGAAGCACGTAGGCAAACAGGTCATCCTCACTGCATGCAAATAAAAAAAAATCTAAGAAACCATACAGGAAATATCCTCAAGTTAACTGGTTTATCAAATATGGACCTTTCAATAACAACAATTTTGAAGGAGACACTGGGATGCACAAGGGTGGTTCTCAGTCGAGACTCTTTGAGAGAATGCAAGACCCTCTTTGTGCTTCGGACAGAGTACAGCTTAAGAAGTTACGTAAATCAAATGTTTTACTTGTTTGAGTTTGAGGAAAACAAGAAGTACCTGGAGAGCATTTGTTTCCTTAAAACTGGTTGGTTGTAAAAGCACTGGAAATAGTACCCGTGAAACTCCTCTTGCATATTAGCACTAGAATTAGGCATAGGCATTGCCAAAGAAGAAAATAACCATTAAAGTGGAACATTCACATGACATTGTAAACTCTTGAACATAATAAACCACTAAAGCAAAAGAATATTAATTACATTGTTGAATGTCAATCAAGAAACATCAAGAAGTCAAATTTTTAACATAAAGCCCTAAAGAACACCCAAGACAATTAAAATACTGTAGGCATCTTAAGAAAATCTTGAAATAGCAATACAAAAATCCATCAAAAAAAGAAGAAGAGAGGGGAAGCTTACTTTAAGATGAAGGCAACACACACACTGATCATTAAAAATAAATAATACCATCCAATCCAGTGTAGCAATAGGCATTCAACTCATAATATTTTTCAAATTTTATTTATCCTTTCTAGATTGCAACTTGATAACGTATCTAAAATTAATAAAATATACATTAATAAAAGGAAAAATGTACACAAATTCTAAACTAATCCAGTCTAAAATTGTATCACTAACCTGATATTTTTCGAACATATAAAGTTTTTACTTTTAAAATAATAACAGCGGAACTTGAAAAATATATATTAAAACTATTATGACAACATACTTAGTATAGTCTCAGAAGTGGAATCTAGAAAAGATCTCATAATCAATATTAGTTTCATAAATAAAATCTACAATGGTTGGATATACGCAGATCTTATCCCAAAAAAATACAATATTAGTGATTTAAATACGCAATCGAATGGCATTGGCATATTTGTGAAACTTGACAATGACATTGAGTTTAGTGAACTGGAGTCAACAATGACAAAGAAAATAACTAGAGCAAAATATACAAGCATGTAGTGAACATAAGATGGTTACTAAAAATGTTAGGCACATGACAAAGCAATTGGAGAATGTTAATGCACTATGCGTGTATATGTAGCTTTGTATAGGCTACATATTAAATAATTTTGAAATTGTGGATATGATTTTAGGCTAAGTTGACATTTGTAAAGGACAATTTGCACAAAATATAGCGTCAAAACATTATAAGTTAGAATATACTGAAATTTAATATTTTTCTAAGTGCATGGAGTAAAAAATTACAAGGACTAAGGAATCTTTGTATTGTAACTCCATTTCTTCTTTGTTACTTCCTTCTTTTCCTGAAATAAATAGCCAACTTACTCAAGAAATTTACACTTTGCAATCCTTCTAGAGAGCATGGAAAATCTAGACCAAATAGTTCTTTGATTCACACATTTCTTGGCCAAGATTTGGTGTGTTCATACAAATACAACTGACTATCATAATAATGTTCTTGTTTACAAAAAGAAAGATCATATGTGTGATGGAGGAGATAGATGACACAGTAATGATTTAGGTAATTACACATCTCATTATTTTGGTCCAGAAAAAAATCATGTCTAATTTTCAAGTGTCTTTGGATCTTCTATTTTGATTATAAACGAAAATCATTCACCTCTCAAATCCACACTCAATCCTTGAAGCATCAAGGTGAAAGAGAAATTTGGTTATAATGGGCAAAACAAGCTTCTTAACAGTCTACACTTCTATAATGATACAACAGTGAGTTTCTGGAGGTTCAAATACCAGAGTTGGGTACTGGTGTGGGTAATATAATGATCAATGTATATGTGACAAATCATCACCATTATAATAGAATCCAGAAGGACCTGAACTATTAGGTTCACCCGATCAAGTCCCCCACACTATAAATATCCTCCTTAGAACAAGCATTAAAATTGGGATCAAACTTTGCCGGATCTGGGAACAAGCAGTCTTCTTTTCAATATTATATATGGCAGGAGTTCCAAAATCATATGTGAGAACAACTTCATGTTTAACAGAAGTTTCTATACCATTTTCAGGCTTTAGCAATGTTAAGGATTAACATCTTGAAACTTGGTCCCGAGCAAAGTATCTGGTGAAAGAGGAGATGGTTCTGGACTACAAAACGACAGTCCAGAACCATAATTTTCAGCCTATTTAAAGAGGTCCATAAGATGATCGTCTTCATCTAACATGACCTTGGTTAATGAAGATTTTTCTGAATCTCCTGAAACATTTTAACCTCATTAGTCATACTAACGCCCAGATGACTAACGCCTAAAATACACTCAACATTAGACTAAAGGCCAAATACAAAGAACCTGTATAATCAAGAAAACAATCATTTTCTTTGGAAATAGATGCAAAAGAATCTGGTTAGCTACTGAAGTATTTCCTTAAACATGAATGATGTGATAAATAATTTTCCAAATTAAGTTGGAAGCTATTTGAGTTTCAAGTCCTCATAATTCGAAAAGAGAGAACCTCTACGATTGACTTGTTACTGATGGTATTAGAACAAAAATAGCTCATTCCTCGAGTAACAATTCATAATTCACTTGCTATAATCAAGCCAATTATAATATAAAATAAACCTTAAGAGACAATGCACACAAATGAAACTTGAAATCCTTAGACCCTCAAAAATCCTTCTTGCTGTCAACATGGAGCACAGAACTGATAAAAACTGTGCTATTGATACCTCAGAATGAACTAACTGAGAAAAAGTGCTTGTCATGCTTTGTTTTCCATATCTAGGCAGGCATACAACCCTTCAGAGGAAGGAATATGAACAACTACAGTACCTTTCTCTTTCAAAGACTGATTTGCAAATGGTGCACTTTTTGAATGTATCCCTAAAAGAATCAATCGTTAAAAAAATGCATTTATAAGGAATTCACGAGAAACCAAAAATGGCCATCATGGACTATGCAGAGACCAGAACAGACCTGATTAATAATAGGAAGTGTGGTGCCCGCCACAATTGAAATAAACTTCTTATCAACCTGTTGAAGAACTTTGGCAGTTTTTTTCAATGGTATCAGGAACCAATAAATCACCAACAAAATGCAAGACGCCAGAAGTGACATTGAGCACAGTATCTCATACTGAAAAGGGTAAAAAAGTCCAGTTCTTAAGATTTTCTGTTCAAATTCTGCTCTGCATCACATACTGAAAGGGGTAAAAGTCCATCATCTTAGCAAGATAGAGAAGAAGTCGCAAAAACATCTGGAATATAGCTAAGGTAACTCAACTGTAATCTCTGGACGGAAGTCTCTCCATTCTGTCACACAATTAAGAAACTTCGAGCTTTTGTGGTTCAAATTCTGAATTTTGAATAAAAAATGTCAGTCATGACTCGTGACAATTCTATAATAAGATCAGAACATAGCGGTTGAAAGAGACTATGGGTCCTAGGGAACTTAAAAAGACACATGGTAATCTCTAATGCTTTTATGATTGAATGCATTCTGGGATAATCTTGAAAAATGGGTGAAAGAAATGACTTTAATTAACTGGAACATGCACGAGAAAAATTTAGCTCTTATTCAGGTCAGCAACAAATGGCAGGAATTACCTTCTTTCGAATCCCCATCGTGTGAAGTTGTGCACTCCCTCAAGCTTGTACTTTATTATTCCAAATGCTAACTAGTTTCATTAGAAACACCAGGTCGTGTGAGTTACTAAAATATTTGATTGAGATAATATCAGAAATAGAACTAACTCTTCCAAGAACGTTGATAACATGACCTTTCATCAGAGAATACACCGTCACCACAACTTGGGGTGGAGGATTGACCACATTGATGGTATGACTGCTGTGGAAACTCCAAGCAAATAGCTTCTGCAGAATGATGCAGTCTCCTTACAGCTCTAGTTTCTGCACGATGGAAACGAACATTGATTAGTTGCCCACATTTCCTGTCATCATTGATCATTAATACAAACAAGCACTCAAGGACAAATTACCTGGCATGAGTGGCACATAACGAACAGTCTTGATACTTTTATTTGCTGCTGCTGTTCTTGAAGACTAGCTTGTGGCAAAGAATTTCTTGCCCAAGGAGCTGAAATGACTTCTTCTACTCTTCCCATTATTATAATCTCATCTGTTTTACCTTGATTTCCAGCATGAATCCATTTACGCGAGTCCCCATCCCATCCTAGAGGAGAGCATAGCTTGTGGTATCAAATAATAATTAAGATTTTCTTCACTATGAGAATGTATATATGACAAATCATCACCATTATAATAGAATTCAGAAGGATCTGAACTATTAACGTCACCCGATCAAGTCCCCTACACTGTACATATCATCTGTAGAACTAGCACTAAAATTGAGATCAAACTTTGCAAGTTTTAGGAACAAGCAGTCCTCTTTTACATATTATTTATGGCAGGAATTCCAAAATTATACGTGATAACAACTTCATATTTAACAGAAGTTTCTATACCATTTTCAGCAATGTTAAGGATTAACACCTTAAACTTGGTCCCGACCCAAGCAAAGCATCTGGTGACGGAGGAGATGGTTCTGGACTAAAAAACGGCAGGCCAGATTCATATTTTTCAGTCTGTTCAAAAAGGACCATAAGATGACCGTCTTCAACTAAAATGACCTTGATTAATGAAGATTTTATCTCCTAACAAAGTTTGACCACATTAGTTAGACTAACGCCCGCCCAAAATACACAGAACCTGTGTTATCAAGAAAACAACCATTTTCTTATGAAGCACATGCAAAAGAATCTTGTTAGCTACTGGGGTATTTCCTTAAACATGAATGATGTTATAAATAGTTTTCCAAATTCCGTTGGAAGCTATTTGAGTTTCAAGTACTCATAATTCAAAAAAGAGAGAACCTCTACCATTGACTTGTATGGTATTAGAATAAAAAAAGCTCCTTCCTTGGAAGTCACAATTCATAATTCACTGGCTATAAATCAACCCAATTAAAACATAAAATGGACCTTT